ACCCCAGAAATGCTTAGCAATGTCTTAGAAGCAACTGTGAGAAGAGCATATCTTTGTTCAGAAAATAATGGTTATCATTTTGAACATTTGTTATAAATGTCTCTGTAGGTATTGTCAAAGTTAAGTTGTTAAAGTAATTCGTGCAAGAATTCATCAACAATTTTAAACGCTGCATTGATCGAATGATGTAGTGAAATAATTTTCATCAACTTTCCAGTATTGAATATTTAATCCATCAAGTTTGACACTAAATGATCAGAAATAAGTGGAACTGATGGCTTTTTTCCTTTCGAAGTTCGAAAAAACATTGATGATGGATAGAAATAGGTCGAAACACATTCGAATCACCTTGTTTAGTACATGGTTGAATTCAGAATAAAAAAACCTTTCAGAATCTGTGAAAAAATTATCAGGACCGTATTTAAAAAACAAAAGTTGATGATGGTTCCACGAATACGAAACGTCGCATAAAAAATCGGTATCACCACGTCAAACGTCATCAAAAGTTGCTATGAAAAAGTATTTTCAGTTTTTCTGTATCTCTAATAATAACGGAGAAAAAAGAAAAAATAAAAATTCCAAAAATTCACTTTTTTCGATATAACTCAAAAACTAAAAATAATTTTCAAAATTTCCGAAGGCTCTTGATATGAGCCTCCGAATGCGCAACTTTTTCCCCATTCAAGCGACTTCGTATCTCCTACCGTTTCCGAGATCCCCATGCTGTTCAACCTTATCTTGGACAGACTGTATATGTGATGAAATGAGTCTACAACAATGAGAAGGGTGCCCCCGAGAACTTTCCACCTCGACTTCCACAATGATCTACCTATCACGTATTGCTCAGAACGAAACAATATGATTTTTTCAAATGTATGATGAATTGACATTCATCATATACGACGTAGGAAGAAATTCTCAAGTTTGAACCCCTTGATTGGGTGGAAGTATTGAAAAGGAACATTCTCAGATATATTGAAGAATACAATATGATTGTATATAAAGAAATACATACATTGAGAATTCGCATTCTCCATGTGATGAAAATATCAATTTTTCCACGGTTTCTTCAACAGAAAACAACTACTGTCCTGGCCATAGGCCACGACGAATATCGAATAACATCTATTGAACACACACGATGAGAATTTGAAAACTAAATCTTCTGAAGTAGGGAATTTGCATTCTCCTTCATATAGAGATATGCATACAATATAATTCTGAATATTCAACAGAAAATGATCACAGAGATAAAGGGTGTTCAAAATCGAGATTTTTCAACTTTAGGTTTTTTTGCGACGAAGCTATTAATTCATCATCGGTCAAAAGGACTATCATGTCCGTGTCTTAACTTTCGATTCATTATCTACTGAAATTCAATAATTGGAACAGATACAGGATGATCAGAATTCTGAATCTTGAACCACACTGTATATGTTCCAATTAAATGTCAGTAAATAGTGAATCAAAGGTTGATATAGGGACATTGAAGCCGTTTTGACCAATACTGAATAATTTCGACACAAAAAAATACTCAAGTTGAAAAATATCGATTTTGAACACCCTTTATCTCTGTAATTATTCCTGCTAGACCCCAAGTGTGATGTATTGATGATATCAGCTCTTAAGGAAGAATCTGAAAATACAATGAAATACAGGGTGTTCCGTTTGAAAAAATCAAGTAATACTCTGTAGATCGTTTGTTCCGAGCACTCTGTATTTTTTCATGCAAAATGTCTTCAAAATCTGAAATTATTTTTCAAATTTTCAAATCGGTTGCAAGATGAGTGAGCTAGAGGGTGGGACATTCATGGTGAATCACTCTATACCATGAGATTCCAACTGTGGTCCACTATAGATCTCACTACTTGGATTAATCGAAGACACTCCTCCCTCAGTCAGCGTTAGGGGTGCTAGGAAAACTGGATCCCCATACAGTTGACAAAAGTCACAACCACCTGGAGACCTGGGCACTTGGTTTATCCCAGGGCAACTGGATGCTGCGCTAGAACTCTGACTGACGGGTCCACAGGCTGCCACCAGGGCAAGCTCTTTCTACAATCCAAGCTGGACCAGGACGTCTCACTATCTGACTAGGCACTGGGAGTTCAGGCTTCGAAGCAACACAAATCCTAGGGATGAAGGATCATCTACCATACCAGGAGTCTGGACTCCCCTGGACCTCCTGTCAGAAGTCAGGATCACTGGCTATCTGAACCAGAAGGGCTGCTAGAGACTTGCACTGTTGACAGCAGGATTCTGCCAGATATTCCGGGCTGTCAGGTCCTATAGATGCCCAAGGACATTCACAAGAAATCCCCAGGATTCTGCTTCCACCTTCAAGTGTATTGGTGACTCAGGCTTCAAAAATATTGCAAACCAAATTTCGTCTCTGCGCAGCGTCAATCTAGCCACCCAAATAGTATGATTCAAGTCAGATTCAAGGATGCAACTTGAAAGAAATATTATATATCGATCATGATATCGATAGGTAGTCGATACCTTAGTCGATACATCAGTCGATCCACCAGTCGATACAAAATTGTACTTGTGATTGGTCAGCAAAGAAGTGCTTGAAATGTTTTTTTCAATGATTTTTGATCGATATGGGGAGAACTTGATATATTCTGCAAAATGATATGGAAGACATAGCTCAACTACTCCACTGGTGAATCGATCGTTTGTCAAATCAGTATCTATGTTATCGAAACATGATCCTTCTCCTGTCACTGGATCTACCCTTGTCATTTCACGAATAAAAAATTCAAGGCCTAATGAGGTCACTTAATTGAGAATTTTTGTCAGATTATAGTTATCTATCATGGAGTTCATGTTGTTTACACCTAAAATAATTGAACTATTGAATGACTAATCGGATTTCATGAGCTTTTCAAGGAAACTCATCGAATCTTCCTTTGCTCATAATCTGTTAAAGATATTTTCGCGTTTCTACTGTTAGGCAGCTCTCTTCCACAAAATTCTACATAATATTCCCCACAGGAGTTAATGAAATTCAAACCTTCGTATGATATTGTATTCCTGATATATGAATTGAGAATCTGACATCAACATTTTGTAGTCGAATAGTATCTTTCTACTTTCTTCACACGTTGCTGTCTATTTCATCCCTCTGAACAAAATCCTGATGATTGAATTCACACTTACTGCTCTTGAATTGGATGTCTGATTATAAAAATAGGAGATGTTCGTCTCATTGCGGTTTAAAGGAATGCATCTTCCTAATTTCCAATCGACTCTTTCAGTAGTTTATTTGCCATATACTTTCTGATCAAATAAAACAATCAATTTGAAACTATCAGTGAACTGTAATTATGAAAATGCATATTTTCCAGAAGTCAATGAGCTAGGCTGGATTTGAATATTAACACTTTTATAGTGATGATCGTGAAAAATGCTGATGTGTAGGAGAAAATGAATTCAAAAACGTATACATGGCCTCTCATGTATTTAACAGCTCGGGTTTTCGGTCAACGCTTTCAGTTTGCTTTGTGAGATTCGTACCCATTGAAACTAATTCAGTGCAAATCATGCAAATGTTTGCCAGGAAGAATTGGATTTGGTCAGATATTGAAGTAGTTGGCGTCCATCTGAATTGTTAGTAGTCATTAGAGATTAAAATTGATGCACTCTCTCTAGTAGATAGATATACCCGAGGATATACCAATATACCAAATTCCTCTTTACCAAAACTGGTTGTTGTATATGGCAAATTCAGACTTGTGTAGTATTCGAATACCCAGTATTCTGAATCCTATTCAGAATACATTTGGCTGGTATTCGAATACTATTCGAATACATTTGTGTATTTGGTATTCAGTATTCGACTGAATACATTTTTGGTCAGTACTCGGTATTCTGGATTCTGAATACCGTTTTTGAATCCCAGTATACAAATACCCACTTCGTATTCGAATCCTGGTATTCGAATCCTGTATTCGAATACCGATATCCAAATCCTGTATTCGAATCCCGGTATTCGAATCCTGTTTTCGGATACTTTTCGATTATTTCTATGAATATTGCGTTACGCTTAAACGGAGCCGTCGCGATATATTATTTTGGTCGATCATATATTGCGACGGCTCCGGCGCTTCTGAATTGATTGCCCTTCAATTGAGCAAAAATTTTCAAAATATAACTCTATATTACCGTCGTCTGCTCTAGTAAAACAATTGTTTTCTTTTGCGGGTATGGTAAAGAAAATTCTTAATCTTTATGTTTCTTTTTGATGGGTGTTTTTTTTTTCTGTTGAAGTACTAGTCTGTTTTTATGAGATTCCTATATATTTTATTAGTTCCTATGTTTTATTTGAAATGAAATGAATTTTATTTTCAGTTTTATTTATTATTTGAGATTATTTTCCATTATTATCTTGCTAAACAATTATTTTGTGTTACCTTACTGTTATCCAATGTACCAAAGTACTTTATTTCAAGTTTCATTTATAAATTGAATATCGTTTCATTTTGAATAATTTTTCAAATAAAACTAAGAAATAGAAATTATAAAATGTTTTGTATTTAACCTCATTGTGATAGATTTTCTATTTTTTATATATTTTTTTAAATAAACTACATACATAAATATAAAGGAGCTTTATGTGCGCAAATGTTTTTTTTTTCAGTTGGAATATTCATGAAATATTCATATGTGAATGAATCCAGGTATTCGAATACAGCGGTATTCGAATACTTTTTTTTTCTTTGTATTCGAATCTCGAGTATTCGAATACAATTTAGAGTACAGTATTCAGGATTCGTATTCGAATACCGGATTTCAGTATTCGACCCAAGTCTGGGCAAATTGACGACACATATCGTACGTATCGAAATAAAGAGATATAACACGGATTCTATAGTTGTTAGATTCGCTAAGGTGCTAGGTGGAGGCAGTAGATATTCAATTTAATTTTAACACTAGTTAATTCATTCTTGTCGGTCGTTATCGATCGAAATGTTCCTGGTCGAATCATACAATATAATAGTGAACATGGCTGTAGCTCAAACCAAAGAAGATATCAAATTCAGAAATGATATTAAACAGATTTGTACCGAACTACTGAACGAGGATTTCATCGATAAGGTATGCACTAATTTTGCAGAGAAATATGATAGCAAAATAGTCAAAAAACTTGACCTTATCAGCGAATCGTTCGAGAAACTCAATGAGACCGTGAATTCCAATACGAAATATATCAAGAATATTGAAGGAAGAATAGCCATTATGGATCAATATGCCAAAAGAAATACACTACGCATCTATGGGGTTGAGGAAGTTGCTAACGAGGTTGTCCTGAAAACTGTTGCGACATTTATTAAAAGCAAACTCAACATCGCATGCAGTAGTGCAGATATCGACTGTGCATTCCGTGTAGGAAAAGATGAAAAAGACTCCACTAAGGTGCGTCCTATACTTGTAAACTTTGTTAACAACTGGAAGCGTACAGAAATATTTCGTGCTAAAAAACTCTTAAAGGGCAGTGAATTTTCTATCTATGAAGATCTCACGAAGAAAAATTATGAGCTACTTATTGCTGCTAAGAAAAAGTATGGAAATAGCCAAGTATGGTCTGCTGGAGGAAAAATTCGGGTTCTGCATAATACCAAGACTGTAACATTAAATGATATGAACGACCTTTTGTAAATCATGTAACCCATTTATTTGAAACTATTGCAAATAACATATTTGATTTCTATATCTCTTGTTTTTCACACACAATCAATTTTAATTGTATATGCATGTGATCTTTTCTCTTGATAAAAAAATATTTGTTTTTATCTTACATTCAGGAAATCTGAGTATGGTCCACTTTTTATTCACTTTCAGGTTTCTTTAGGTAGGTGACTTTTTTGGAATTGTTCATGCTCAAATTATTTCAAGTCTGGTAGGTACTTCCTACAAAGCAAATGATGTCTTAAGTTTATATAGGTATGTCTTACTAAATAAGAAATGTCCATAGGAACGAACACTCCATAATATGAGTAATAATTTGAATTTCTCACACTTCAATATTAGATCTATCTCAACAGGTTTTGACTTGTTCTCTGAATTAGTCAATAAGGAATCTTTTGATATCTTGGGGCTTTCAGAAACATGGCTAGGAAATCACATTAAAAACGAAGCAATCAATATTCCTGGTTACAAAATCCTAAGAAATGATAGAAAAGAACGAGGAGGTGGAGTTTCTACTTTAAGAATCACTTGAAATGTAAAAGATTGGCAATAACTGCTGATGGTCCACTTGAATGTCTCTGGATGAGTTTGAAAATTGAAGGTAAGAATTTGTGCCTGGGAACGGTGTATAGACCACCGAATAGTAATCTCCTCGCAGGTATCGAACAACTGGAAAATATATTAGTCAACTTTTTGCCTGACTATGACTGCATACTTTTTGGAGGTGACTTCAATATTGATCATCTTGATAGGAACAGTAGTAAATATTTGCATTTTAGTAAAATTCTGGCAAAATATGGACTGCACCAAACTATTAAAAAACCAACGAGAGTCAATGCTAATTCTGAGTCTCTCCTTGATTTGATTGTGGTTTCTAGGTTAGATTTACTGCTGGATGCCGAGGTCATAAATACTGATGATATATCTGATCACCGACTAGTAACCTGTAATTTGAAATTGAAAAAAAATCGGCGTCCAGCAATTTTCAGAACCTTCCGTGATTTTTCGACTTTTGATTATGAACTTTTTTTGTTTGATTTAGGGATGACTGAATTTGATTATATCTACTCTTTGGAAAGTATAGATGATATGGTGAGTTTCTGGAATGAAGAAATTATTAAATTGTTTGATATACATGCACCAAAAAAAAACTGTGCACTGAAAAAACAGTTTATTCATAGTTAACGAAATTAATTAACACCTAATAAATCATTTATTCGAATATTGCGGAATAAACGTTTATTTATTAGAAACAAATAATGCATTAAAATTATTTGAATATTCCTCATTAATAGTTAATTCAAATTAATTTCCAATAAATATATGTCTCACTATAGATTTATCAACTGTAAATAAAACATTATTCATAATAAATAAGGAATATTCATCAATATTATATATGTCATCACCATTTAATAAACACATTTTTATTATTAATATGTTTTATTCATTGAAAATAAACGTTTGTACATAACAAACCTCAGCATTTTTTCTAATAAATAAAGCATATTTATTAACCTTACATATTTTATTATCTATAAAAAAATACGATTGACACTTAGAACTTAAACATTGTTTCAATTTATATAGCTCTTTTATTGCTCTGCCCATAGACGTTTTTTCCAATAACTCCGATAAATTGAAATCATTTAATAATGATTCAGTACTGATGATGGTTCCACTTGAGGCTTTGAGAGAGGTAGATGTTGAGGTTGAGCCATTTTCATCATTTTCCTCAATATGACTGGAACCTTCCGTAGACTGATCGTTTACATCTACAATGTATATTTTATTGGGTGGCTCAGATTCTTCAATATAGTGATGGGTGTCATAGTCATGTCTAAAAATAAAAAAGACTACAGTGTTTCATTTACCTACATATATTATGTATCCAATTGCAATGTGTAAAATCAAAACATTATTCACAACAGGCATATAATATACTTACATAATAATATTATTAGCCTGTTCTTGAGATTCGATTTGAGATTGTTCAAAAATCATCAACTTGTATTTTAACTTAATCCTTTGTCCTAACTGGGGTACTAATACTCTGTATTCGTCAGGTTCACGAATAATTTCTTTGAGTGTCGTTATGCTATCGACGCCATTTGCTACAAATACAATTTCCTGTTAAATCAATGATATATTAATTAGAGAACAAAGTTGTTAATAGCTAATCAGGTATTATTATTTTTGTATAGCTTGATATAAAATTTATGAATAAAAAATTGAGTTTTTTTGTTATAAAAAAATATTATTGATTATTAATAAACCAATAGCGTCGCAAGAGGAGACTTCTGAAATCGAACATTCAATATGGAAGAAATTGGAATCAATTCACTCTTTACAAAATTACCTTTACATATATTTATCAATTCCACAAAACCGTTGTCATTCAAAAACTTTTCCAGCTCCTGGACCTGATCCATTATGGCGCGAGACAGCCTTGATATGCCTTGGTGAACTGCGTTATATAGAGATACCTATAGGTACTTGTAACTTTTTCAACAGAAGCTGCACAACACACAACACAATAAATGGCACCACACAAGTAACGCACGCGCACGACTGCAAACAACGAAAGAACGAAACACGACGTGACACGTGTCCCATTATGAAGCCACCACGGCGTGACGGCACCTATCGAGGCGATTTTATACTAATGTTCAGCGCCGTATTTTCAATGAATATTTATTATCTGGCACTAAGACTTATTCACTTTGAATAAACTCAAAATTAATAATGAATACAATTTTAGTAATCCCACCCAACAAACGATTTAATTAGTAGTAAATTTATATTGTTAATTATAAATATATCGACCTCAAACAAACTATTTATTTTTTATTAACAAATCATATTATCGCGTTTACTAATATTAAATAAAATATCCTAATAAAAAATACAATGTTCTTTCCTTTATTCATTGTAAATAAAAGGCACCCAAACAAATATTTATTAACTATGAGCCCTATCTTTTTTTTCAGTGTGAGAATGTCTATGGCACCGGTTCCTTGGCTTACTGAAAATCTTAAGATCATGATGAACATTAGGGACAGAGCATATATTAGGTATAGGAAATATAAAACGGATACAGCATGGAGGAATTATAAACATTTGAGGAATATGGTTAACTCAGCTATCAAGTCTGAAAAGAAAGCATATCTGAATTTCCAATTTAAAAAAGACCCAAAGACATTTTAGAAAACATTGAAAACTCTTAATTTGAACTCTCAAAATGTACCTAGATATTGATACAAATTTTAGTAATTCAGAATGCTTCAATAATCACTTCGTAAATAATATTCCTCAACCTGCCACACAAAACAATGAATATTTGGAACAAAAATATGGGAATAATACTCTTCCGAATGTAAATGAGCTATTCAAGTTCAAAGTAGTATCAGCAGATAAGGTACTTAATGTGTTTATGACAATTAAATCGAATGCCATGGGTGCTGATAACATTGATCGTAAGATGCTTTCTCTGGTTCTCCCTCATCTTTTAAATCACCTGACTTTTATTATTAATAAATGTCTAAAAAATGGCTATGTGCCAAAAGCATGGAAAAATGCGAACGTTATACCTATTCCCAAAGTTGAACATCCTAGTTCGGTTGCTGAATTCAGGCCTATCAGTTTATTACCTACTATTTCTAAAATATTAGAAAAAATTGTTACTGAACAGCTGAATGAACATTTAAGTAATAAGAATATTTTACTCTTTCACTAATCCGGGTTAAGAGTTAATCACAGCACGTCAACAGCCCTTTTGAAAGTGACTGATGACATATTTGAAGCGAACGATAATAAAAAATGCACTATATTAATATTATTGGACTATAGCTAGGCCTTTGATACTCTAAACCATACAATTTTATGTTAGGGAGCTGGAATACTTTGGTTTAGACCCTCTCGCAGTGGACTTTTTCAATAATTATCTATTGGATCGCAGGCAAAGGGTTTTATGACATAGTCAGTTTAAGAATGGTCTACATTAACTCGTGGAGTTCCGCAAGGCAGTATCTTGGGACCTCTCTTGTTCACAATTTATACATCGGATTTTTTTAAATGCTTAAAGTTCTGTAATATACATCAATACGCTGATGACACGCAAATATATCATTCCTTTCCTGCGACCGACATTGATTCTGCAGTTGACCAAATTAATTCTGACCTAAATGCCATTTTTGACATCTCTAACGCACACGAATTGATTTTGAACGAGTTCAAAACGATTATGGTGGTATTTGGAAACAATCGCAAGAATGTAATTGACTATCCAAATCTCAATATACGTATCAATGGTAAATCGCTCAATCCAGTAGATACATGTAAAAACCTCGGCCTGCATATGGATTCTGACATGAGATTTTCGAAGCATGTTAATAATCTTTTGCAGAAATCTTACTGTAAACTTCGGACCCTATATATACATAGAGACTTATTGAGTAAAGATGTCAAACTCAAATTATGTGATACCTTAATTCTAAGCATTCTTTCCTATTGTGATATGATTTATTGGCCGGCCTTGTCAATCGGCGATAAAAAAAGTCTTCAGAAAATACAAAACTGCTGTGTTAGATTTTCATTCAACCTGCGAAAATTCGACCATATCTCTCTTGCCTTCGAGGAGACGAAATGGCTGTCTCTCGAAAATCGCTTCCAATTGCATTTGGCATATTTAATTTATAAGCTGAATAAAAATCATGCACCCTTATATCTTTTGAAAAAGCTGAGTAAAGGTTGTCAAACTCATACCTGTCCGACACGATCGAAAGATCTGTACACCGTCCCCAGGCACAGATCTGCACTTTATGAAAGTTCATTTAGTTACGATGCAGCCAAGCTGTATAACAGATTGCCCGCGAATATTAAGGCTGCAGCAGGTTTGGCTAGCTTCAGAGAGCAGGTCAGGTCTGTTTTGATGGATTCTACCTTATGAATGATGAATTGGTTACCTTTCGTATCATAAATTGATGACTCATTATTTTTGTATACCTGTATTTGTACTATCAATGTAGCTTGTATAACCTCTAATAACT